ACACTCACAAACACACATACACTCACACACACAAACACACTCACAAACACACAAACACACACACAAACACACATACACTCACACACTCAAGCACACTCACAAACACACATACAAACACTCACACACAAGCACACTCACAAACACACATACACTCACACACACAAGCACACTCACAAACACACACACTCACACACACAAGCACACACACAAACACACACACACAAACACACTCACAAACACACATACACACACACAAACACACTCACAAACACACACACAAACACACATACACTCACACACTCAAGCACACTCACAAACACACATACAAACACTCACACACACAAGCACACTCACAAACACACATACACTCACACACACAAGCACACTCACAAACACACATACACTCACACACACAAGCACACATACAAACACACACACACACACACAAACACACACACACACACACACAAACTGGCAACAGTGGCTCTCTCTGGAGGAAGAACTGCTTTTCTCTGTGTACCCTTTCACATACTGAAGTTCCAAACATGTTATGCATTAACTCTGAAAAATAAATGTTTAAAACTAAAATGAAATATAAAATCAATGTGGTCATACTCCCCAAGCAGAATTTTTATGAGGTAACATTCAAAGGGGCACAAGCGAACTTTCTGGAATGACAGAAACCCTCTATATCTTGATTGTGATAGTGGATTACATAACTGTATACCTCAAATGAGTGATTTTACTCCATGTAAATTATATCTCAATAATCCTGTGTTTATTTTTTTTAAAAAAGCTTACATGACACCCAAGGCCCCTCGAACAATGCTGACAGAAATGTAAACTGGTACAACCAACCTGGAAAACTCCTGTACCTTTGTGGCACAGTGTACCTGTCGGATCTGGGTGCGCACACGCCCTCGGACCCAGCATTTTCACCCCGGCGTGAGTACCCAAAGGACACGCGCACAGGGATTCACCACAGAGCATGCAGAGGAATATTTGTGGCTGCACCATTCATGACAGCAGAAACATGCAACAACCCAGCCTTGGTTAAAAGTAAAATGGATTGGGTGACCGTGTGTATTTGTGCAATGGAAAGCCAAGGGATGATTTGGTTTGAAAGGCAGTGTTGCCAAGACCAAGGAAATGTTGGCAAAGGCCATAAGCAGAAAAAGATACACACACATCCTTGACCATGAAGGGGCAGTCATTCTCACTCATGGTAAGAGAAATGCCTGTTAAAATTACTCTGAAATAACTAATTTCACCTGTCACAATGGTATCGTTGCAAAATTTAACCAATTTTGATGGCAAGACTTGTAGAGGAGTAAGCATCCCCAGATATCTCCTTTGGAAGTGTAAAACCGTACCCTGCAGGGAAGGCAATTTGGCCATATTAATAAAAAGTTCAATGCATTTCTCCTTTCATACAGCAATACATTTGTAGGAACTGTCCTATAAGATAATGTGTACAAAATTACACATTTTAAGAATATTCATTATTTGCAATTACAGATTAGAAACAAGTCTATTAGACACTAGATAAATTATAATATATGCATGCAATGGAAGATCTCACCAATGTAAAACACAGTGTAGAAGCTCTCTATGTATTGATAAGGAAGCAAATCTAGAAAACAGACAGTTAAGTGAAAAAAGAAAAAAAAAACGAAAGGAAAAAAACATACACAACATGTTAGTTGCATACAAAAGGGAAAAAAGAAGACAGCTGCAGTGATTCATACCTGTAATCCCAGCACTTTGCGAGGCTGAGGCAGGCAGATCACCTGAGGTCAGGAGTTTGAGACCAGCCTGACCAACATGGAGAAACCCCGTCTCTACTAAAAAATACAAAAACAAATTAGCCAGGTGTGCTGGTGCATGCCTGTAACCCCAGTGACTAGGGAGGCTGACGCAGGAGAATCATTTGAACCTGGGAGGCAGAGGTGGTGGTGAGCCGAGATCGCACCATTGCACTCCAGTCTGAGCCACAAGATCGAAACTCTGTCTCAAAAAAAAAAAAAAAAAAAAAAAGGGAGGGGGGAGAAATGAAAAAATACGTGTTCATATTAGCTTGCATTTGGATACATAATAAAAATACTGAGCCATAGGGAATAACAAAAAAGCGGAGGAAAGAACAGGATAAACGGGAAGAAATAAGAATTCTCAGTATCTACCTTTTTAAAAATATTGTTCTTTGTTCCCCCACTAAAAATTCACTACTCATTCCAAAATGGTGCACTTAAAATCCATCCTTGAACAGTTAGGGAAATAAACCAACTCAGAAGTCTGATTACTTTTTCCTCCTTTAGCCCTTCCTTAAGGTGTATAAATGGACTTTGCAAGTTGCACACATGCTGCTAGGACCCCCCTTTGAAGTGTGGGGGACAATAACTGGTCTTTAACACATTGCCCTTGTCCTCCTTAACCTTGGGAGCCTCAGCCACAACTGACATGAAGCAAGACTTACTTTAATGCTGTTTCTCAGGAAAAGACACACAGAACCCAGAAAGAGATCACAAATAAGACAAAGTTGCATCTAACTGGGAGAGGGGGGTAAATAAGTAATTTCAGTTAACAAAATGATTTAGATATCTTTGCACATCAGTATTCAAACTGTATCTTCTCCTTTAAACGGTTACATAGTGTTCTGCATTATAGCTATATCAGAATTTATGTTTTACTTATATAAAATTGTATAAATTTATAAAATTTTCTCATTTTTAAAATTATTTGCCTTAGTAGAATTTTATTTGTGTATATGTGATTTTTCTCTAGAACAAATCCTTCGAAGTAGAATTGAAGGTTGAAGGCTGTGTACCTTTCACACTTTAATTAAATACAGTGAATAAACGTTAAAAGAGATACACTGTTATTAGTTAGTTACTTGAATGCAAATAAAATGAGATCCCATTTTCATTCATTTGTTTGGCAAAGATGTTGACAAGAGTATGAATAAATATGATATGAAAAGATCTCCAAATCATTTTCATAAGTAAAAAAGCAAATTTCAGGAAAATACACACAGAATGATACTATCTAGGTTTTTTGAAATCAACCACCACAAATTAAATCTATTTATTTCAGTATTTATGTGTGTGTGTGTGTGTATGTGTGTGCATGCACACAGGTATATACACATAAATATATGTATATTCATATATATACACACACATATATACATACAGATAGGGAGGCAGGCAGGCAGGCAGAGAGACAGACAGAGAGAGAGATAAATACATAGATAGACGATAGACAGACAGACAGAATTTGAGCAGCCAGAAAACAATTCAGGAGGACATACACCAAAGTAACAACAACTATGAACACTACTGTGAAGCCGAGGATGTCGGGGATAGAGAAGCCACAGAGATCTCTTGATTTTATGGTTAGAATTTAAAGCAAAAGCATATATTCAAATATAGTTCAATTAAAACAAAAAAAATACAAAAACTACTCCACTAAATTCTGCTTGTCAAGTTTTTTTTTTAAACTAGAGTAAATGGACTTCTAAACCTGCTTTCTAATCACTTTTAAGGTGAAGAGGTTGTACAGAGGCTAAAGAACTGCTCCTACTTCTCCAGGGTTTTCTATTCAATGTGAGGAAATCCAGCTGAATAGAGATGGCGAGAAGGAAAAGGAGTCTTGAGAACATGACGCGTGAATGAGCCCAAGTTAACACTTAAAAACGTGGCTGCAATATGCTCCGTCTAATGGAAGGATAAAACGAGGACGCAGTGTTAGCACTTGATGTCAAAAGTACAGGAAAGAAACAACTATCAGAATTTTTATGCAACTTCTAGAACAGATTCAGTCTTTAGAATTAAATTTCTTTTTTAGGAATGGAGAGTGATGCCTTCTGAGTGATGAATTTGGAAGGCTCATTGCTCAGGCTCTCTGAAAGACTATAGAAACAGTGAAGGAAACACTTTGCTTCCAATCGGCAAAGATAAAAAGGGTATTATTGCAGTGCTCCCCGGAATCTTTTGCAACATGGCTCAGAGAACAGAGGGCAGTATTTGCATGGCATACTTTAGAAATGGATGAGGGAAAGAGGCTCTGGAACCACCACAGCCCAGCGCTGCAATAACCCAAAGACAAGAGCAGCTTGGCACTTGTGACTCGGTCAGGGCATATCTGTGTCCTGACACAGCCACTGGGATGAGTGTTTGAGATATGTACTCATATCCCAAACATAGCCTTTCTTCTTTCCTGGTGACAGCAGTCAGAGTGGCTCACAAGAATGCAGCACTTTCTGTGACCGGACCACAGACCAGAGGAAATGGAGACAGCTGTGGCTATGTGAGTTAGTGCTTTTTTAAAGACCAACCGGTAGCTCTGGTGATGCCCTGCACCTACAGACGGTATTCAAATCCCAGAAGGTCCTCAGACAACACCTGGACACAAAGTCCTCAGACAACACCTGGACAAAAAGTAATTTCCTTGTTTGAAAGCAAAAAGAACCTCTACCTTTCTTCCGCTTCTGTGGGCCCGGGTGTTCTCTAAGACAAGCTATTCTTTACAAGACTAAAAACAGCCTCAGCAACTAGTTCTAAAGAGATGTGGCATCATCATATTCAGTACCTTCAATAAAGGTAAAGCTCTCTACCACTTAAAGAGAAGCACAGCAACTAAATAAAATGGCAACAAATAACAGTCAGTAAACACTACTGACATTTAATAAACTGTTCAGTACAAAATGAGGCACCAATGGACATTTTTAAAGTACATATGTTGTCTTATTTCTTAAAGAGATTATCATTTTAAAGCAGCATGCATTCCACAGTATGACAACTCTAATAAAACTTTAAAATATGAGAAGAGTCAAAACAGCATAAATGACAGATATTACAATTCATGAAACATAAAAAAATGAGATTCTGAAAACTCAAACATTGGTCTTTTGGAATCTCAGCATCTTCAATAACATTTTCAGAATACATAAAATTAATTTTATAGGTGAGACACAAGAAAAAAGAAATGTGAACTTCCAGTACCTGGTAAAAGCTGGGCTGTGTTCTGTCATTGCAACAAGCAGTTTCAGAGCATATGCTGGTACTGGGTCAGGTTCCATGAGAATGTGCTCATACCTGAAACGGTAAAGACATTTTAAAAACACTCAGCAGGAAAAATTATGTCCAACCTGGAATTCTATATCCAGCCAAACTATCAACTTAGCTTGAGACAGAAAGATATTTTACACACTAACAAAGATTTAAGTAATTTACCTCTCGTGTGCCCCTTCTCAGAAAGTTACTGGCAAATGTGCTCTACGGAAATAATAGAATAAACCAAAAATAGAAAGATAGAAGCAAAAACAACTCAGCAGTTTTCTTCACTTAAATGCTACTCTGAAAATAGAAATAATATAGTATACCATAAGGTACAAACATCTGAAAAATATACAGAAACTGAAATAAGCTTATGAGTTAACAGACCTATACAGGTTACTTAACCTCTTAAAGTTTGAAACAACTGCACTTTCCAGTCCTGATCATGATCATCACTAACCTCATAAAACATTGTCCTTGGGAAGATTCAATGAGATAATCCATGTAAAACAATTAGTATTCAGCTGGGCATATAACAAGAGATCAATGAACATTAGGCGTTTGTGTTAAAGGTCTACAAGAACACCCTCACATTCAGAGACTCGCTAGATAATTCACAGGACTCAGCAAGGCCACGATGTAGCACAGCAGTGTAGAAAGGCTGCCTTCTGAATCACATGGGAAAGGATGGGCACAGAGGACTGCAGGATGCCAGGTGCCAGTTTCCTTATATCCTCTGTCTTCCATGAGGGGTCACACTCTTACCCCAGCATAAAAATACAGCACATGTGTGGGATGTTTCTGCCCAAGGAAGTCTACTGGGTACTCAATGGCCAAAGTTTTTATAAGGGGCGGGTCATGTAGGCAGCCTTGATCTAAAATGTATCAAAATTCCAGATTCCCAGAAGGAAAGCAGCTGTTTTCAGGATAAACCATTCTGTTTGCTCAAACAGTCGAGGCGCAGTGAACTACCCTTACCAGCTAAGTGTTAACTGGGTGCGCTCCAACAGCCAAGTTCCTAGATGTCTAGCCAATTACGATTTTGCTTACAAAATTTTTGTGGTTTTTTTTTTTTTTTGGATTGGAGGTTTCAGTGGGACGGGAGAATCACAAGGAATCAGGTGTTCAGAGGAATGTATTGAGTAGAGGTGAGGAACTAGGATGTTGAAAAGTAAAAAAAGGAGAGAAGGAGAGGAAGAAAGAGGAAGAAAAAGAGGGAGAGAGAACAGGAATATTGCTTCATTCTAAAAATGGGTATTAATAATGGCCAATCAATATTTTGTGTATTTGCAATGGAGAACTCTATAAATATTTATTGAGTTTACTTGTTGCAGATCTGAGTTGAAGTCCTGGATATCCTTATTAATTTTCTGTCTCGTTGAGTCTAAATCTCGTTATGGGTCTTATGTATCTGGGTATTAAGATCTCTTACCGTAAATTTTTTGTAAACAAAAAATTTTTCTGGATAGCAGTTATCAGGCCTGCTATGTTAACTCTTTTCTGCACAGCAATTATTATTATTAATACTTGAAAACCTAAATTTATTACCAAAGAGAATAAAACTCAAAATGTCTTCGTCAAAATTTCCACAACAAAATTCTCCCATGCTTGTTTTCCAATGTGATTTGCTAGGCAGAGGCTGGTCTATGTGCTATGTCTTACCTATTGAGGTTCACAGTCCAGTATACAGCGCTGTATAAACAAGCATCAAACGAGCAAACCAACAAACTAACCAATGTTATGATTTAATTCTCTGGAATAGTCAACTACTAAAAAGAGAGAAAAATACCTCTAAAATTCCTAACTGGATATTTAAAAATCTGTGATATAAAACAGACGCTTTTCATCTAGAGAATAGGGTCCCAGGCTGACTCAGAGCTTATTTACTCTCATTTTGGAAATAATTGTACAACAAGCCTAATTATATAGCCTGTATGCAAATGTATATATTTGTTACTCAGGAGGCTCAGGCAGAGGACTGCTTGAGTCCAGCCATCTAAGGCTGCAGTGAGCTATGATGGCGCCCCTCCATTTCAGCCTAGGTGAGAGAGCAAGACCCTGTCTCTTAAAAGAAAAAAAAAAAAAAAAAAGACAAAAAAAAAACCTGTGAAATATTACTGACTGAAATCAAAGTGTCCTGAGACTGTTTGAGGTTATCTAACCTTGAAACAGGAGGGAAGAATAAAGCTTGTACTACTAGCTTGTGCATAAGAATTTTCCCAAAGAACATTGTTCTGTTTTCCTCCTGTTGGAAAAAATGAAGGGCAAAATTCATAATGGGCATGTTTAGAATACACATATTGAATATATTTTAGTTTAACCAAATGACATGTTTTGTAATTGTGAGCAAGATCTAGCCAAAGGTAGGCCGTGATTTACTTTGTCTTTGAAAGCACAGCTAAGCTGATAGTAATTGAGTCCTGCACTCCTTTGAATGCAGCTTAGCAGAAAAAAGTACACAGTGATGAGCCCTGACTCTTGAAATGGCCTCAGAGAAGGCTGACCAGTGAAGAGCTGGCCCATTTTGATGGACAGGGGCTGGAGAGGAGCACTCCAAGAGCCCCGAGGCTGGCCACAGATTAAGATCACTGTTGACATCACAGTGCCCAGTGCAGACAGCATTCCTGAACCTCACACTTCTACCTCTAGGATCTAATCTAAACAAGATGTCTTTGCTAGAAGCCAAAGCAGGAGAGGTCCAGGCAGGAAAGGCCATTCACACTAAATTCACATCCATCCCGAAGAAGAGAAAATCCCTTTTAAAAAAATCACATTTTCGGGACCTAAGTCAACAAGCTGAAGGTGAGAGAGTCCTCAACTCTCCATTCCTCATTACCAGTTCTATAATTAATAAATCCCTGTCTTGTCAAGTGCCTGGTATAAACAAGACCCAATTAGGTCAGCTGGGAGAAAACCGAAACTGGCTAAGTCACTCTGGATTACCACGAGAAGATATTCTGAGGGACGTGAACAAACCATTGGTCAAGTAAAGGAAAGTGTCTCCTTCTTGAATAAATGAAGAAGTCCATTCTGCAGGGATTCAGCCAGAGACTCAAATTTACATCTCAATGAGTGTGCTGAGAATGTGGGGGGGGGGGGTCCCAGAATATTCCACACACTTGAGGGTGAAATATAATGAGGAAGATTCTGCTAAATAAAAAGCTAGAAAACAGTATCAAACCACAGTAATTATTACATACAGGGTGGACTAAAGAATACACACACAGTCATGTGCCACGTAACATTTTTGGCCGATGACAGATGGCATATACAACAGTAGTCATATAAAAATGTTTTCTATATCTTTTCTATGTCTGGATACATAAATTCTTACCGTTGTGTTACAGTTGCCTGCAGTATTCAGCGCAGTAACATGCTGCGTAGGTTTGCAGCCTGCGAGCAACAGGCTATACCACATAGCCTCGGTGTGTGGTGGGCTCTGCCACCTACGTTTGTGTATGGTAACCTCCATGATGTCTGCACAATAATAAAACCGCCTAAGGGTGCATTTCTCAAAACATATTCCTAAGTGACGCGTGACTGTGTCAAAAGGAAAGAAAGGTAACACCTAAGACTGGACAGGAAGAAGTAAATTTAGAAAGGGAGTTACACTGGTCAGACTGTATCTCAAGGAAATGTATATATAATAAATTAAAATTTTAAGTTAAAAATTTTGACTTCATTAGAATACTGAAAATGAGTAAATATTCACATATCATTGGGTAAAAAGGCCTCTTCAGCATAACAAATGTAAAATGAATGAGAAAAATATTTATAACTTTAAAGTTTTTAAAAGTTAAATATTTCTGAATGGCAAAACCACCATAAACAAATCAAATGAGGAAAAGATTATTTGCAGAATGTGGGTGAAACAAAAAAGTTAATGTTCCTACTATATAAAGAGCTACTGCAAATCAATAAACCTACCACAGAAAAACAGACAAAATTCACCAAAGAAGAAAATAAATGGCCAAGAAACATGGGGAAGACATGATCTACTTCATCACCATCTGGAGGGACACAAAGCAGAGTCAACGCGGGTACAATAAAATGGGCAGTTTCATAAAAGGAAGCTGGTAATATAAAGGCGCATCCTGTTTGGAAAAAAAAAACAGCAGAATGTATTAAATACCTTTAAAATGCATATTATTTTAGGGGTTAGGGAGAGAGCACTGCTCCCTTTGTTGCCCAGGTTGCAGTGCGGTGGCAAGATCCTGGCTCACTGCAGCCTCAATTTTCCGAGCTCAAAGGATCCTCTCACCTCAGCCCAGCTCCCTTCCCACTCCCACCCCAAAGTAGCTGACACCACAGACACATGTGACCACACCCATCTAATTGTTTTATTTCTTGTAGAGACAAGGTCTCACTATGTTGCCCAGGCTGGTCTCGAACTCCTAGACTATAGTGGCCCTCCCACGTTGGTCTCTCAAATGCTGGGACTACAGCAGTGAGCCATGGCACCTGGCCAAAATGTATATAAACTTTTACACAGAAATTTTACTCCTAGAGATTCTATAAAAAGAAACAAGAATGTGTCCAAGGATGTAGCCATAAAAAATGGTATTTGAAGCATTATATATAATGTAAAATATGGAGAACTCCTAAATGTTTAGTGATTGGGAATTGTTTAAATGATTTTTAGTACACTTATAAATGTAGGTATACATAATTTCATTATGAGACAGCCAATTATATAGTATTACATAAATATAGATATAGTGACAGACACAGATAGTAATAATACAATGTCCATGAATAGGGGGGACAGACAGGTTCCAAACAGAGAATTTCGGAAAGTACTGGGCAAATCTGACCAGGAATATGAAGGAACCATAGAATGGAGCAGGAATATATTAACTTAAAATGGTAGACAAGAAGCAAAACACTGAGAGTCTTGAATATTTGGGTAAATACTGTTAATGTGTTCTACAATCTTTAGGTTAAAATGTTTCTAAGCAAGGGAAGGATTTGAGGAAGAAAGAATTTGAGGAAGATTTAAAATGCAAATCTAAAAGAATGAGACATGGATCTGAGGCTTG